CTGTTTAAGAAAAGCAACCCTTATCCGCCTGTTTCTCGCGGGACTGGTAGACTCTGGATCGGGGAACTTTCAAACAACACAACTGGACGTAAACTTATGCTTCCTATTGTGTTATGAAGACAATATCTTTACAAAATAAAAGTCTTCATGTTAAAAAAAAATTTAATTTAAATTTATAAATGAAGCACACGCGCTTTATTTATGTACAAACTTTATATATTTATATATATAGATTTGTATATAAATTTTTTATATATAAAATTGTGATAAATATGAAAAAGAAATCAAGTTATTTTTCTGTATTCTACAATTTCGAGAGAACAGTTTCGACGGTGAAATAAAAATCAAAATTGCGTCCACTGAATTTACGGCAGTCAAATGTCGGTTAAAATGAGATATTGAGGAATTGGACTCGCTACATAATGCACGTACACGGATAAGATTGTGCTGTTCTCAAGAACATCGAAATAACGTTTAAGTAAGAGTGCCAGCTGCAGCGAGTAGCGGCAAGGAGGCGTAATAATCTCGTACAAGCACGCACTAGGCCTCCATTAAACCGCGTCGGCAGCATTCTAAGTACCGACGGGTAAAGTGCAGGCCGCGGAGGAGGCCGAGGAGTACCGAGAGGGATCCACGGTAGGACAATCAGGTAGGTGGAAAAAATCCCCACAGCAGCCAGAAAGGTAGCCGCATTCTTGGTAGCTCGCGGAGGCACGTGGGAATCGCGAGATCGTCCCCCCAGTAGCCCTTCTGCTCTCCCGCGCGGCTCGTCGTCTTTTTGGGTGTACCTTCTAGCTAAAGTACGAGCACATCTCCTGGTAAATAGGTAAAGAGTCGAGATGCGCCGGCCTCTTTGTCTCTTTCTCGCCGGCGAGTAATATCGCCGGCCAAGGGAGAGAGAGATGGTTCCCTTCTTGCTAACTCGCGACAAGCTGCTCCTGGATTCTTCGCGCGCATCTCCGTGGACGAAGCTCGCAACGGAGTGAATTACACGCTTCTTAACCCTTAACCATCCGGTAACTGGTACCGTGCAGTAAAAATCGCCAGATACGTTTACGCGGCCGAAAAATACGCGAGTCGCGATCACAAACTGTCTTCATTATCCGGACTCGTCGGTACATTTCCTTCTCTCGTGGCTTTCTTTTTTATTTGTCATTTCTGAATTCTTCAAATTTTACGAGATAAAAGGTCAATTAGTAAATTTCTCATCCACTATGCCCATCCGGCGGATTTTTTAACTCGACCGTTCGTTTATCTCGGCCGGATAAATAACTTCCTCCTCGTAAACCACCATAACGTGCCTTTAGAAACGCAGTTTTCGTCTCTTTCTCCGACAGTGAACCTGTTAGAAGGCGCACTGGATAATCTCTTTCTCTCTCTTTCTCTCTCCTCGGATAGTCTTTCGTCGGAGAGAGGAGAGGAGAAGAATGGCTACGACGATGACGACAAGAACGAAGAAGGACGCGAAGATGAGGAAACGAGAGCCCGCCACTTGGCGTTGCAGCCTATACGAGTAGACGTAAAGGCAGACAGAAGGAGTCAGCGCAGAATATACAATCAGCATGATTGTTTGACACCCCATAATCAGCGTCCTTACCCCTACCACGCCAGCAGCATCGTGGCATCTCTCCGTTCGTTTTACCTCGCTCCCGCCCGCACCTGTCTCCTCCTCTTCCTGATGCTGGCCAGGCAGGCCACTCTTTGGTCCTTTCACGTTGATACCATCCGAGATCTGCTCCTCTCCTCTCTTCTCTCGCCTCTCCTCTCTTCGCATCACCTCTTCGGGTACCTACTCTCGGTCTGCTGCCACTGCGCGCGGAGCCTCATTACCCCGATCACGACTCGAAATGAGACCCGGCGGGGCAAGGGAGACGAGAGAGAAACGGACACGGTTATATTATAGGAGACAGAAATGATGCTCGCGCTTCCCTTTTTTCTTCACCCGGAGACCTCCCGACCGACGTAGCGTTTAGCCTTTCGGCAAAGACAACGTATGCAAGAAAATGCTGTGTACCTCGCAAAGTATATATACGAGATTGCGATACATGCAAACACACAATCGTAGACTTCATTTATAATATTCGAGAAAAATTATACAAAAACTTTCTTTATCCCATTTCATATATCTTATTTTTCTAAGCTACCGAAGCGTAAATTCTATCAACTTTACATTGTTTCGCATGCTTTTATATATTTTTACTCCTATATTTATAAAATGACAGGATTTTTAACGATTTCACTTTTTCTTGTAGCACTTTCCGGCACGTACGCGAGATTTAGAAAGCAATCACGGGAATACAAAGTCACGGGGGGGAGTAGAAGGTGAAGAGAAGGAGGAGAGAGATGAGGAGGAGGCGGATAGGTTCGATTCAGTAACGTCGCAAGCGAAGCGAACAGAAGATAAAAGGAAGAGTCGCGCGAGCGAAGGGCAAAAACAACATGGATCCAGCTTCGGATCGATCGAAAAGCAACCGATCGATCCCTGGTATTACGCAGACGTGCACGTGAGTCGTACGTGAGTGCACGGGCATGTCGGGAGTACCGTCGGCAGAGAGATCTGAATTGGGTGAAAAGAGTTATCTCAAGGTAGAGAAGCTGCCAAGAGCGAGAAACGGATAGCTCTCTCTTTCTTCTCCTTCAAATCCGACGGGAGGAAGAAAATTGCATCCACCAACGCACTCGGTCATTTTGCACTATGGCCGGAGAGTTCCGACGCCCATCGGAACTGCTCATTAGAGACGTGAAGAAGTCGAAAAAAGTGTCGAATGAATGAGCGGTAAATGGAATATCCGCCGAGATTGCATCCATTCATGCGAAGGTGGTGGAAGTGAAATCCATCGTTGGCCATCTGATATTCGGCTCCGAATCTTCGTCGGGCTTGGTTTTTGAAAGCAACTAACCGAGTCGGAGCTCGCGTTCTTTTGGTAAGCTTTTGCGCGGATAAACGAGCTAATTACGATGCAGGTCGATCCACGAAGGTGTCTCGAGCGCTACGAGAAGTCTCGGTCCGGAAGGTGACGGAGGAGCCGATCGCGCGCACGGTGGGTGAGAAAAGGCGAGGGGGAGCAAGGGGGGTTGCGGAGGAGGAGATTAGGGCAAAGAGAAACCGCAACGTAGCTTCAAAGAGGTCTCGCCAGTCAGGGGGCGCGTCTACTTAACTTTGATCAGGTCGAGACCGCTGATGCGAGACGAGCCGCGCAGAAATAAAGTGCCTCGCCTCGACCTTCCCCGCCTTTTTGCATCCTAAATTATCTCGATAGTTCGAAATATCGAAGTTATCCGCAGGGCTCGCGCGTATCGCTGAGGGAAACGGTGTTTTTGCCAGCTGGACGAATTTTTGCTGTAGTCGAACGGTTTAATGTCGCCGAGACGGTATTTTGAGAGAGAGAAAGAGATGACCCTTCATCTTTTTATCGCAAAGGAAAATTTCCGCGGTGGAAAAAAAGCTTTCCCGGAGGAAAATTTACAACGATGGTAGGCTGGTTCGCGATCGATGACGTTTCTCCACGGAGGAGGAGGACACTTTTTCCTCGTGCTACGGCGACGCAACGGTGCATCGAGAGGGATCGGCGAGAGGGGAGATGGAAACGGCAGGTTGAATGTCGTTATTACGTCGAATTAGAGGGTGCAGAGCCGGAACGAGGTATGAAACTATTACCTCGCGAAACGGCAGAGTTCTCTTCTCTTTTCCCTCCCTCCCTTCCCGGAGTCCCCCTCCACAATTTCTCCCCCTTTACCCTTTCGTGACGAAGGGTTGGCGAGATTGCGATACATGCAAACACACAATCGTAGACTTCATTTATAATATTCGAGAAAAATTGTACAAAAACTTTCTTTATCCCATTTCATATACAATATCTTATTTTTCTAAGCTACCGAAGCGTAAATTCTATCAACTTTACATTGTTTCGCATGCTTTTATATATTTTTACTCCTATATTTATAAAATGACAGGATTTTTAACGATTTCACTTTTTCTTGTAGCACTTTCCGGCACGTACGCGAGATTTAGAAAGCAATCACGGGAATACAAAGTCACGGGGGGGAGTAGAAGGTGAAGAGAAGGAGGAGAGAGATGAGGAGGAGGCGGATAGGTTCGATTCAGTAACGTCGCAAGCGAAGCGAACAGAAGATAAAAGGAAGAGTCGCGCGAGCGAAGGGCAAAAACAACATGGATCCAGCTTCGGATCGATCGAAAAGCAACCGATCGATCCCTGGTATTACGCAGACGTGCACGTGAGTCGTACGTGAGTGCACGGGCATGTCCCGATGGATGACGTTTCTCCACGGAGGAGGAGGACACTTTTTCCTCGTGCTACGGCGACGCAACGGTGCATCGAGAGGGATCGGCGAGAGGGGAGATGGAAACGGCAGGTTGAATGTCGTTATTACGTCGAATTAGAGGGTGCAGAGCCGGAACGAGGTATGAAACTATTACCTCGCGAAACGGCAGAGTTCTCTTCTCTTTTCCCTCCCTCCCTTCCCGGAGTCCCCCTCCACAATTTCTCCCCCTTTACCCTTTCGTGACGAAGGGTTGGGTGGGGTTAGCGCGTAGTTTCGAGTCGCTCTTCCATAAGGATGCTGCGCGAGGAGAGTACGAGATGATGATAGCCGCATCACGAATATCTCATCGCGAACCAAAGAAGCAAATAGATCGGTAGATGTTGTTTCTACTTGGCACTTGGTAAATCTTCGCTATCATACGAACGAGTGCAAAAAACACTTTTATAAAAAATATATAAGAACATCTTTTTTATAGAAAATTTACTCACGCGATAAACAGATTAAAATATTTTAAATACTTTGAAAACTCACTGTATCGTTAATTAACCTGGAATTCTTCTTTTTTCTTCCTCAAGAAGAAGCATATGCATCGAACTTGAACTTGATCCGTTTTATTGTATAAATATTAACGCGGTACGTCTATCATCTCTACGCGTAAAAAAGATCAAACAGACTTATCCACTAAAAATGGGTGAGGCTATAGAAACAGAACTCACCGCCGTGTTGAGGACTGCGTTTGTAGCAATCCTGATGAGCAGAGGAGCCGCCGGTAGCCCCGAGGTGTGTACTGGAAGCCGGCGATGCGGTCGGGTCGGTGTTGTTGGGGTTGGTGCAGGCACCGCTAACCGAATTCGCGGTGACATTGTTGCCGGTCTGCTGGTCGTGTAAGTGACTGCCACTGTGATGATGGTGATGCTTATTCCTCCCGAAAGATTCGAGTTCTCGCAGATGAGACCTGAATGAGGTCGGCGCGTCGAGGAAAGGTCTTTGTCCTAGGCCGAGCGCACGGAATTGCTGATGTTGCTGCCCTGAAGAAGAAAAATTATGCATGATACGATATATAAATTGTACTATCTGTCTTGTACTTGCACTCTTGAGTTGCTTAAATATGTCGTCTTGTTACCTCGACTGCAAAGTTCTTATCTATTTTTTTTTTATTTTAAATCATTTCACGGTATAGTCGCAGAAAAAATTCTGAAAAATACGTGTCGGACTTTCTTTCTGTCTTTTGAATTTTTTCACGTGGCTTTTGAGCTTTGCAACGATGCAAACACGCGGACTCTCCAAACCGGGGAGATTGACTAGCGCGCGCGTCTACGTCATTAGACCAATAGAGCGAGATAATGAAGAAACTCGACCTCTCTTCCCTTGATAGACTTCAATAGCATTCCTCGCATATCCGGAGTCCCATGGATAGACAGAATCTCTAGCCAAGTATCGCGGCGTACACATAACGTGGGCACTCCGATTCCCTATTACGTCGGATCCTGATACACGCTATACATATTGTATATATATATCTATATATATATATATATATTGTTACACGACGTGCACATGATTCGTGTATGTGCACGAGCCCGGGTGCTTACATAATCATCGGAGACCGCATGGGCGACATACATTATCGTAAGGCAACGCAGTCTAATAAAAATTAAAATAAGAATCACGTCCAACATGCGGATATATTTCATTCAACGTGTATCTCTTGACACGTCGAAAGCCGATTCTCGCAATACATTCCATACTTTCGATATTTACATACTGGCATCTCCAGTGAAAGAATGACAACAGGAATTCTGGATTCCAGCTATTACCGGTAGGCAGCAAAAGTGGCACATTTGCCCTTTCCCCCTTCCCCTTTCCCGTGCTTCTCTCCTTCTTTCTCTCTTTTTCAACGGATGCTGACATCGAGGAGAAGCCAAAAGAATGGGAGTCTAGGCGCAAATTGTTATTCCTCGGGAGAGTAGAAAGAGAAGAAAAGGAAGATGAGACGGAGCGCGAAGGAAGAAGGATGGAGAGAAAGAGAGAGAGAGAGAGAGAGAAAGAGAGTGAGAGAGAGTGAAAGAGAGAGAGAGAGAGAGAGAGCGAGATGAAGAAAGAAGGAGAGACACCTCCGGCCACGAGGGCGAACGACAAATAAAGTTCGACCGCAAACTGCACGAAATTGTCGGCGAGCCCAGATGGTCAGCTCCAGTGCTCTGACCGATACCTACAAGATTATTCCCTGCTACCGACTACCACGATCGGCCCGCGCCAGGAGATACTACAAGCGAAGGGGCCCGTGTAAAAGGGGGCCCGCGCGGATCCCACGACTTCTCACGTACCGGACGCCGATAATGCCCCAAATGTACGGTGCGTTACGCGGCAATGGGTCCGTTCCATTGAAACGGTAGATGCGAAAATTTTTTTTCTATAAAAGCGAATTCTTTCAAAAAAAATTTCAAATGTAGAAATGACACAACGAACGTTGCATTACACGTTACACACGGATTTTACGTGTTTTACATTTATAATTACGATAAACAAAAATGTAATGCTGATATAAAACACCTTCATCAATCGCCTCTCTGGCTTCTAAAGTACGGATAAGCGGAGAGCGAGTGTGTGTGTGTGAGAAAGAGAGAGAGAGAGAGAGAGAGAGAGAGAGAGAGAAGGCGGGATGCAGAGAGCAATAATTCCAATCTCTCTCTGCGGCACGAGTAGTGGGCTTATCTAATCAAAATGTGGCGGCCCTCGAGAGAACGGAAACAGCGCGGCTTTTTCCTCCTCTCTAATAGCGGGGACCCCTCCCTCCGCCCGTCTTACGTTCTCCTTGACGCCAGCACGGCGTTTCGTACATTTTATTCGCATCTACTCCTTTTTTCTTTCTCTTTCATTCCTCGACATTAGCGTAATTTCGCAGTATCCATTCTGCTCTTCCTCCCCCCTCCCCCACCCCTCTTCCCGTATACATCCGCTTGCGATTTCAGATCGTCGCGACGATAACCGCGAGTAATTTTTCCAGCGAGCATACCATTCACGAGCGTATCCTCGAGCCGGAAGCTCCGCGAGATCTGCCACTTCTCTCGACGCCGCTTTATCAGGAGGTGGTCTTTAATCGGACTTTTCGGTCGCCGATAGAGCCTTCCTCTGACCGGTGTCGGGATCAAGAGTCGGCCACGAGGGAATCCAATCGCGAAGTAGCCTGGTTCAATTTTAACATTTTGATTGACAACTCACCGACCGTCGAAATTGCTTCGTATGGTTCCTTTCGTCGCTATCGGTTTTCTCGAAAACTGCATTTAAGAGAGATGTCGATTGGGACGGATGAGCGATTTTGCAGAGAGATGGAGAACGGGAAAATAAACAAACACATCGGTTGATATCAATGGATCGGCTTGCGAAGCGAAATTTGGATCTCGCGAATTTCTCGAAGAGATACGTCACGTTTATCATTAAGCGAAAATACGAGGGGAGAGGCAAAAAAATCTATTGTTGACGACAACATCGGACGACGCCTCGTTTCGCTCGTATTAAAACGGGAAATCATTTCGCGAATATATCTATGACATACTACTAATAGATGACATTCCAAATACGGAGCAATTACGGAACGAAGCAAATTCAATTTCGACCTTTGACTGACAGCACCCATCCATCGATATCGTTCCGCTCGCTTGCATTTCGATGATTTTGGGGCCACGGTGACGGGCGAGCGGCCACTTTGTTTCACGAGCGCGTCTCTCTTTCTCCGTTTATCCGTTACCGCGCTCGATTCATTCTGCGTTACGCGAACTCCGCTGGCATTTCCGTTATTGGCAACCGACAAATTACTCAGGCACTGCTTTGTCGTGACCGATCCGTCTAACGGAAAAGGTCAAAGTTGTCACCTTGCGTTTCATCATCTTTCCCGATATAACGATTTAAACGTGCGTCATATTAAGAGAAACATCTCTAAATATTATATTTTTATTTTTTTCTGGTGTGTCTATTCAAATCTTTTAAAAAATTCTCAGATCTTTCAAATATTCTTATTCAAAATTCCAGGTAAAAAGAATATTTTTGAAGATTTTTTGCAACTTTCTAAAATAAGTTAATTTTTTATTAAATGCGTTTTTTTTTTTAATGCTCTTCATATATGTAGAAAAAACACAGAGCGACTCAAGTTTTAAGTGTTAGATTTTCAAATGTATTAAAGAAGCTGAATAACTTTCGTAAGATTAACATTCTTCACTTGCATAACATTTTCATTTTTTTATCACTACAAATTACAATAAAGAATATGTACTGCCTATTCAATATTTTGTTAAGACATTGAATATATATAAATAAATATATATATATATATATATTTATTTATATATATATACATATATATATTTATTTATTTTGTATATAATATACTTTAGATATTAAATTTTAATATTCATAACTTGAAATATTGTCAACTGTTTGTACTATAAGAGCAAAATTATCAAAGACAAAATGTTTTAAAAAATTCTCTAAATCCCAATAAAATTTCATGAGAATTTCCTGATTTTTCTAGGTACAAAAGAAATCCCTGAGAATTTCAAGTTTTCCATATTTTTCTAGGGAGTAGACACCCTATTTTCATATAAAATTCATATGCTGGATTCATTGCTGTTCTTCGAGGAAACGGAAAGGCTTGCTATTCTAAACCCTTTCGCGCGCGGGTCGACGATATAGCGAATTACGGAAATTGCCCGATTACTGGCCATGGCATATACACACACACACACACACATACACGGTGAAGCGCGGAGGGATGATTTCCGATAACAAAAAGCTTGCGATTATGCACGCAATAATGAGAGCCGGCAGGTGTCTGCGGGGCGTCGCGCATTGTTGGCAGGACAATGAAAGCGCTGCCGGTTGTTTTGCTCGAACGCCGGTTGCGCTGCATAGATTGTCTCCCCGGATGCCGTGCCGGCCGATGATGAGGCACGCCATCGGCGATGCCAAAAGTCCGTGTATGCAATATGTCGTCATGCGTGTTCTATTCCGCGATCCGCGCCACGTGACACGCGTGCGTTCGTTTTCGTGTCGTCTCTTTCGATTCGGAAAGGGCCAGTAGGTCGGCGTCTCCGGGTGACGTCCGGCTTATTCTAACCGACGATTTAAACGACAGGCTCTACATTTAAAGCGCTCCCCGCTTGTGCCAATTATAAGTGTAGGTACTGTCTTATACGGCGAGAGTAACGTAAAAACGTAGAAAGCATAATATTCATTTATGTGCGTGAGTTATATTTCTGTCCATTTATAAATATCGTATCTTTCAATGGATTCACTAAAATTTAGTTTATCAGATTAACGATTAAATATATTATAATATTTAAAACTAAAAATAATATTATAATATTTAATACTTAAAAATAAATAAATAAGCTTGGATAGTTTCAATTGTATATCCGTCAAACATATTGTTTGATAACTGTATAAGATTATTCGCGAATTATCAATTTGCGATATGAAATCGAGCGGTAGCAAAATAAAATTGATCAAACCGGAATCCAAGGGCCATCTTCATCCGAGGGGCATTAAAAAAAAAAAAAAAAAAAAAAAATATGGAGACCGATGTGGATGGACGCGACTTGAAACTTTAACCCCGCCGTTAAGTGCACTTTATGCCAGCTGGAAAATTGACGAGATTCACGCGTTTTTGCACCTGCTCCGCCCGCCCCTCCCGCCCCCGGACACTACACGGGCCACACGAGTCAAGCAGTAAAAACATCAGTAAAATCAATCACGCTCGGCCATTGCGAAAAAAATAGCGGGACCCCAGCGAATGTATACGGCGCCCATCAATACTTTATACAACAAATGTGAAACGCCCGCAAAAAACTGCCGTTTTCGCGGTTAACTCCGCAACGGCTATTAATCTGATATTGAAATAACGACCATTTTTTTTTTTTCGCTCGCCGCGGGTGCATCCGAAAATAGGTGTCGGGCCGAATAGTCGGGCGCGCACAAGCGCGCGATATCTCCTTTCGGTTCGAGGCGGGGGTGAGAAGGGAGGAGAGGGGGGGAAGGGGGCACGCAGTCGAGTTATAAAAGCGGAGGAGGGTAGGGAAGGAAGAAAGCGGGGCGGGGGGACAGCTATCGACTTTTACTGCGTTTCGCGTGATCCTATCAATTTTGGCCGACCGATAATGAGTTCGCCAACAGAATGTTTTAGCAATTTTTTCGGGGGTTTTCGCGGCGAATTATATCGTAAGTGAGTTAGCGTATTCGGGACGCACGAACGCGCGCTTGTAAAAGCATTGTCTCCCCCGCGCGCATGTGTATAGGTATGTGTGCGTGTGCGCGCGCGAATAGCTCGACCCGAACACGCATCGAGCCGCGATACGCACGTTGACCACTGCATCATCGCGCACCATCTGCTCGGTAATGACTCCCCATTACCGCGTACAGGGACTTTCGTTGAATTATCGGTACATTTTCGGAGGGAATTCCCGGAACGGCGGCGCGTTTTGGATAGATCTCGCGATCGAAGTGTCGCATGATTCACTTACTCGTTTTCGATCGCGGCTCCCGTGGTCCATCGACGGTTACTTTAATCGCCCTCGTGTAGGTCGCCACTTGGGGCGGCGTTGTCGACACGGTAATGGTGATGCTGAAACTCTTTCCTGCGACAGAGAACAATGAATTATGAATTACATGCGAAGCGTGAATTAAATGTGCGAATATGTAAACGTTTGATACGAGATATTGTATATTCTCTATAAATCTTTTATTTTTATAAAATATCAACAAAGAGAGTATAGAGTCGCATTTTTACATTTATGAATTAATTCTTCTTTTTTCGCGTAAAATTACGCAGTCAATTACAAAATATTATTTTCTATATCTTTGACTTGGTTTTTTTTTTTTTTTCTTGTAACGAGAAATCGCCTAAGGATGTTCTGACTGTACAATAGCAGCAAAAAATTGTCAAAATTAAAAAAAATATATATTTCTTATGTTTGTATTGTTATCATAAAATAATATGGTTTTTCATGTCTTCGTAAAAGAAAATAGTTGTAATTAATATTTTTTTCTAATTTATGACAAAAACTTTTGATCGTGAATATTCCCTGAAATCAGCTGCAAGAAACAAAAAGAAATCAAGTAATTTGCAGAAACAGAAATAGAGAGAGAGAGAGAGAGAGAAATTTTTAGTAAATAACTTTTAAACGAGTAAGTGGATCTAAATCAAATATTTATTAGAGTTTTCTTAATATATATGAAAATTTTTATTTTGTTGGCAATGTTTTTTCCTTGTCCAATTTGTCAATAAGTGCTATAATACGTGATTTCCCATAAGAATCAATACTAACTTTAAACGTAAATAATTTCCAAACCGTTAAGAGAATTGTGCCCAGGTTTTGCACAGATACTCAGAAGAATTGGTAGAACAGTCTACGAAATTTTCATGCTTTTGTCAATATTTTGACATATGACACACATACATCCTTAAATTATAATTTATCAAATACTTCAAACAATATAAAGATTTAAGTGCACATCTATTTGTGATCCACGAAGTGCTAATAAAGATACTCGTGTTTCTATCTTCGATTAAGTACGACGAGAGCGGAGTTCGATTTATAATTTGCGACTTAAGCAATTACGGTCGTGTCTATTAGATCCTAACGGAGCCTCGGTATTCTTAAGCACGTTAAAAGATAATAGAAGAGGAGTGGATGCTCGGGGGTGGAGCGGTCGTGTACATATATCATCGGCGAAGGTCTGCAAGTTGAAGGTCCGGTATATTAATTCCCTCTCCATAAACGTCCGTCGGAGAGATTGACTACGCGCTCTTAAACGGCCCATCGCGCGCTAATATGCATTCGGTAATTCGCCGCTCTTTCGCGGCTCTTCCGCTTGAGAGAAGCGTAGGCCAGAGTTGTCTCTTTCGACCAATTGTCCCTCTCCTCGGGCCGAGGGGGGGTTCTTCTATCGCACGGCCAAGAATTTACCACCAAACTCAGTCTCTCTCTCTCTTTCTCTCTCTCTTCCCCTCTCGTTATTTACGTTCTTCGTGATTGGAAACGGAGAAGTCCGGTTTAACCGTTTCAACCGAGACCGGAGACTGGCCGTCAGGCAGTAGGCGATAACTTGACTGGGAAACGATTCGTGTACGATGCCATCATCCGTATGATGGCGGGGACCGAAACTCTCACTCGGTGTCAACTTGTCCGATATGACGAACGAAACGAAACACGAGCAAGACTGCTGTTTACGCCCCAAAAGAGACGATACCTAACACGCGCCGCGGACATGCAATCGTTTGTGTTGGCGTAAATGTCAACGATTTGTAATTGTCTCCCCTTGGTGCATTCAGAGTTCCACCTCGCTCGCTGTGTCTGTCAACATGATAACCGGCATCAAACACCGCCGACCCCCGACCCCCACCCCCCTCACCACCCACGCGCCACCCCCGGGGAGCTGACTGCAACTGACTGCAGAGCTACATGGCGTTATATCCCAGTTATACCGCGGCTCTCTCCGCTCTTCTCTCCGTGATAGAGCCGTCGCCGCCATCCCCGTCGCGCCTGTTCCCAGGACCATACCTCTCGCGACCGTCATTGCCATCATCATCGTTCATCTGTCGCGCGCAAAGTTGCGTCGTTTCGCGTTTTCGCAAGGTGGACGCTTCAAAAGATTACGATTCTTCTTCAAAAAGATGCTCGATTCTCGGTCAGACGTTGCGCGAATGACAGGTATAGTAAATAACTTTGAATTTCAATGGGAGTGGGGGGGGGGAGAAGAATTTAACTTTTGGAAAGAAAAAAATCGGCGAAATTGAAATAGACATTATACATATAGAGAATGCGAACATAGGTAAAAGTATTTTTAAATATTTGAGAATTTTAAGACACACGACGTCCGGAGTAGAAAACTCGGAGGGTCGCCAAAGTCGGGAAGGGGTCGGGAAGGTGGCGGCCGATCGGAGGAAGGGTCGCGCGCGCTGTCCTTCCCCCTTCCCCCTCCCCCCACGTCCCGTACCACCCCCTCGGCAGAGTCCATCGCATTTGGGGCTAATAATGCCGCACAGCCGACTCCCCTCTCCGGCACCCGGACCTGCGGTTAATACTCGATGATGGGAACGGTCATCTGCAGAGACAGGACCCGGCTTGTGCATTCGCGAACGATGGACGGTCGGTCGGACGAACGGTCGGACGAACGGACGGACGGACGGACGGGCGGGCGGGCGGGCGAACAGACGGACGGACGGACAGACAAAACCGGGCCACGCGTATGTGGCACCTATATAACGTGCAGCATCACAGCTCGACTACTCACGATTCTCCAGTGTGTCTCTCTCTCTCTCTCTCTCTCTCCCTGTATAAGTGTGTGTGTCGATGCGTTGGCAACACACCGACGATGAGATGAGCGCGCCAGCCCAAACCGCCCACACACAACCGCCTGAAACCACTCGAAACCGTCCGTTAATACTCGTGGCGACGAGCGGAGGGGACGAGGTCGCGTAGGGCTAAGCGAGCAGCAACGTACGGGGTAGAAAGGCTAAGGAGGGGCAGCAGGGGGATAGGCGAGCGGACGCGCGTCGGTGGTAGGGACGGAGCGGAGGTCCCCGAGTCTCCCAACAGGATGTCTCTGCGATTGTCAAATAATTACTATCGGTGGTAATTTCAGCCGTGTCGATATAGACTGCGGTATATTACTAATTATTAGGCACGGGCCGACCCCGGCAATGATGATGGAACGATCGTCGTCGTCGTCGTCGTTTCACCATCCCGGCCCTCTCTGATTCGGCGCTACTATATTCCGTTTCTTTCTTTTCCATTCACGGTATATAGTTTTTCGAATGATTTGCTCATAAATATACGTGAGAGGCGATAATTGCCAGGATCGTGAGATCTAGTTACGAAGAGATCTCGCATTCTTCTAAAAAACAACGGCCAATGTCCCACGCGTTGAAATAATAGTACGTTTTAATGAAAAGAAAAATGATCGCGTTTATACCGGTTTGCGGTTATTTCCTTCTTGGCGTAAACTGACTTTAATAGCCGGCTGATTAGAGGTAATAAACCGTGAGGTGTGCGATCGGAGTCGTAATCTTTACGCGACAACAGAAAACACGTGTAAAAGCAATTGTAATCAGAATATGCACACATTGCACATAGGAGAAAATTGTGAAGGTGAGAAAAATCGCGAGAGGGAATATCGAACCTTGGCAAAGTCGTTGAAAAATAATCTCGCGTCGCGTCGATATATGAGCTGGCGATCGCTCTTTTTAATCGAGGAGGTAGCGGCCTCGGAATTTTTCGTGGCCTCGTCCGTTTTAAAATCCTCGCTGCAATTTCTTGAATCAGTTCGCATCGGCCGATGCGATGCAATTCAATCAAATTAATAAGTCGCGGAAACAAAACCTCGATGATATAGCAGGAGGGCCGGCCGGTTCGCCCGATGGTGGTGGCCGGCATCAACACACCGAGGGCGGTTTGGTCAATCGCCGAAATTGAGTATTATGGATTATCGGGGAGAGATTGAAACGACAAAAACACAAACAAAAAAAAAAAGAGGAAAAAATATGTAACAACGCGAACGAGCCGAAAAATGGACAAAGGGACCGAAGGATTTTCGGCGAGGGAAGTGTCTCTTTCGCTAATTGACTTCGGGGACCTGATGCACCTGTGCGTCAGGAGAATGAAAATCGCTAACCCTGCTCTTCATGATGAAATCAAATGAAACATAGATGACGCGCTACGGGACGAACATCCCGCCGTGCACGAGCAGTCCGGATCCGTTAATTCATAAACGCGCCCTCCGGATCATGAGGGTGCAAAATGCATTTGTAGGCTTTGACAAAGCCGCCTACTGATTCGTGAATAATTATTATCGGCCGGGATCGATGTTTCGAGAACGCAAACAGGTCGAAGGAATTGCAAATGTCAAGATTTCGTATTAAGGAGGAACTGGACGGATCAGCTAGGTCAAAAGTTAATAACTCTAATACATCTCGAGATTCATGAATTTGACATACACGCACACAAAGTATTCTTAACCTTCTAAAATATAAAATTAATAATTAATTTATGAGTTAAAATAAAGATTTGATGTAGAATTAAAATTTTCGTTTTCATAAATTTTTGCGTACAATCATTATAAAAAGTTAATTCGATATAAGATCATATTTACGATTTTGAGATTACATTATATTTTGCAGGACAAATCTTTATTTTAACTCATAAATTAATTATTAATTTTATATTTTAAAGGGCTAAAAGTGCTTTATGTGCGTAATGTCAAATTTATGAATTTAAAGATGTATTAGATTTATTAACTTTTGATATAGCTGATCCGTCTAGTTCCCCCTTAAGAAGAACAAAGACTCGCGAAATCCTTTGTTATCCTTCTCGATATATATATGTATATGCAATATAAAATTTCTATTATGTTAATTAATTATCAAAATATTTTGCGTTAACATTATTCGTCATTGCGGTTTAATTTCTCTCAACGTTGTTTCGCGAGATATTTTTGTTAATAGATATGCGCGCGAAAGAGCCGCAGGGGTTGACAGAAAATTAGGGTCGAAAATTAAACAAGTCAAGAGCATCGATCGAAAGCGTTGGTTGATTTTGGCAAGTCATCCTCTCCGTTCATATCCGTCCATATCCGTCGGATGATTTCTGATTAACGGCCAGTTGTTTCGAATGCTCGGTTGGGGCTTGCGGCAGACATCGAGTAATGACTCTGGGGGGGAGGGGAGGGGGTGGTAGGAGAACGGCAACTCGCGAATGGGGACGCACGGGGATGGATGAGGGTGGCACGATGATGATGATGATGATTACAATAACCGTGATTTTAGAGGGCTGGAAATCGCGGCACGCGCTTTCGCCCGTCCTGATACACACAACACACTATACAGATTCTCTCGCGTATAGACTTCATATATGATCAAAGATACAATTGTGCTTCCAGAGAATATAATTGAAATGTTAATACGCTGCTTTCAAATATATACACCTTCCCTCTTCTTTTACGCGCGAAATGTTTTCCTCTTCGGAAAATATTGCGCGTTTGGAAATTTAAGAAGATAGAAAGATAAAACGATCGGAAAGAGAAACTCACCTCTACCGCTCCTACCGACGAACCTAAGGTCGTTGAACTTGGCGACTTGATTCTTCATCAACGCGGTGGAGTTTCGCAGTTCCGCGCAACAGTTCTCGTCATTGCCCGCGCGGACCGTCACCAGAGTTCCGTCGCCAACTTCGCCAAGAGCAACTACTTTGAACGCCACTGGAAGCGTCTTGTTGGACCGCCAATGAGTTGGCAGTTGACTGCATAAAAAGTACGGCGATCCTGAAACAAAGGTCGCATAGATTTAAAACGATCGCTCAATATAATTTGACGTCAAATTGAAATGCTAACGATTTTAATAGAAGCGCAAGATCGGTATGACATCTGCTCAATATTTAATTAACATGACAAGATCAAATCTTTTTAAATAAACATTCCTCTCTCTCTCTCTCTCTCTCTCTTTCCTCTACCCTCTCACTCATTACTCTTTTTCAGTATTTTTATCTTGATGAAAACACCAACCTGTCCTGACCAGTTCTCCAGGATGTTCGGCCTGCGCTTCGCCGACGAGTCTTTCGGTCCACCATAGTTCGCCGACGGCGGCACTCTCGCTCATCTCGCCGCCTCCACCTCCGGCGTCGGCGTCGTCTACCTGGTGGTACCTGCTGTTTACACCTTGCAGCGGCGCCAGGGAGGGACCGCACGGGCCGGCGCCTTCGTGGGATCCAACGGTGCCGTAATTCTCCCCGCAGCCCACGGAACCCACCGGTAGATGCATCCCATCGGCCAGTAGCCGCCCAACGTCGCCCAAGGATGTACTCCCCAGCCGGGACGTCGTGATTTTCACTTACGATTTTCGCCGACGAAGGCGACTTCGCGTTCTGCCTCTTGCTACCAGCCTGCCTGGCAAACGTATCCCCGGCGTGTCCCACGCCGTACGTAACCAATCAGTCGTTCTTCTTCCTCGACGATTGCATCGATTCTCATCATCGATCGCGAGATCGTCATAGTTACAGGCGGGAGTCTCGATACCGCGGAATCACCGGTTCCGGTTTTGCCTCATGATCCGACGCGGCAGCTGTTTTCTCGCAATGTACCGTTGCACTTTCTTACGCGACGCGTGACCGTAGAGAGTCCGCCGATTTAAAGTACATTTATCACTGTCTATCAATAGTTTATTCAACGCTCGGTTAATAATCGTCACCGCGTGTTCGTATCTCTTTCTCTCTCTCTCTTTCTCGGGACACTCAATCGCCAGCGGCACTACCTATATCGTTTGATCGCGATCTCTATTCCGACAGGTTGTTGCCAACAGGACGACGGTCCAGACGTCGATTCCACGAATTCGATAATAACGTCACGCGGCGTTACACTCGGATAAACGGCGCACTTTTCCTGCGTAACACCCACTGACGTTTCCTTCGACGGAAGGCCGCGTCATCATGATCGCAGTCGACAATCGGTGGGGCGACCATCAACTCTCTCGCATCAAACGTCAGTCGCGGTCGGCGGTGCGCGACGTAATGCCGCGCGGACCGCGTGTTCCGCGCGTAAGCGGTCCCGGGACGGCCTAAGCCCCGATGATTCTGGACCCCCGCCTCCGCTTACGCCACCGAACTGACGCCCCTCGACGGGCAGAAACGGGCTACGCTCTCTCCGCCGCTCCCACCACGCGCACAGCACGCCGCCGCCTCCCCCCTCCCCCCCCGTTCCACTTTTCGAACTCGCGATCATCGAAGGTGGTGGTGCATCTCGTCGACGTCATCATCGACGACGACGACGACGACGGCGGCATTCTTTCCCCAGCTGTCCGGTCGACCCCGTTCGCCAACCTCACGAGCCGGTAGACGTGATACGCATGAGAATAAATAAATTCGTGGGACTTCCCATGCGTCAGCAAGTACGCTTTCATATTTTCCTATATAGCGACTGGCGCGCGTTAATTTATTCAAGAGCAACTAGTTTTGAAACACCCGAGATTGCTCCTGAGACAAAGGTTGAGAGATAGATCGCGGTCCGAGATGCATCGATTGAAAATTAGTTAGTCGAGACCGGCGACTATCGGGCGCCGCTCAGGCCACCTCTCGCGACGATAAGAGGCAAAATACCGACGAAATTCTCGACGTTATCGCGTGATTTCTCACAATGGCCCAGCCTCCCGATAGCCGCGATATGATGGTCCAGCCTTCGGGCGAGATTCTTCCCCTCCTTTCTTTGCCGAGTGGAAATGCGCGATGTGGGGGATAGAAAACGCGTCATGCGATTGCGATATAGTCTAATAATAAATCTCCCATTACACGTATCCATAATGTAATTTAGCAATATTTGCAGATGTAATTTATTATCTTTTTTATGTTTATGTATTTATTATAATACTATGTATTATACAAGTTATATATGAATAGTGTATAGTTTTTAATAGTATTTATTAAAATATTATTTGTGGTCAGTATTTATATAGTAGCATTTATAATAGTATTTAATAGTACTTATAATACTTATAATATTATAGTATTAAATATTATAATATTTAATAATATCTATTAAAACACTATTTTTTATTCTTGTGATTAAAGAGAAATTTTCTGAGAGCGCTGAGGAGAGACCAAAAAGACTCGCGATTGGTTAATGAATCAAGGAAGATTTTGTGTGAGGGAGATAAATTTGTTCGTTGTATAGTTGCCTTTGCCATGTGTCAACTGGTTTCTTTTGGTTTCCGCAAATTCTCAGCGGAACAGCATCCCATCACAAGCAATGGCAAGGCGTAACAAGTGTCCGCGTGACGTCACTCGGCTTTCTGGAGGCGGAGCTTCTCGTTGGGGAAGCAGATGGAGGGGTCCAATTCTCCCGCATCATGCATCGCTCGCCCCACCCGTGCGATTTTGTTCCTTCGCACCTCTACCCGCGCTTTCCATCTCTTCTTCCTTCCCTCGACCCCTTTTCCTTCCCCGTGGAAGCTTGGATCTCGATGCTTCTTGCCGGAGCACACGTTGGACCAAGTGAATGGTACTCTTTAACAAAAAGGAGATCGGCCATGTTTGCATAAATTAAATACTACCGATGATCTTTTCGAAGGATCCCCTGACGGGATTTTGTTCTTGTCAAAATTCTATGGATCACGTAGTTTGTTGTCTAAACAATTGGACAATCTCACATTACGTCAAAAATGGCGAAGATTTTATAAAATATTCATACAAGTTCTTCTATTTCTCCATATAAATTGTTAACAAATTCATCCATCATGTGTGCTACAGTTCATTATTGGACAACACAAAAAATCTAGAAAACGTCGTAATTTTTCAGATTTTTATACGACCTTCTGCTTAGAACAGTATTCCAGGCTCCACCAAAAATTCTGAATCGCGGTCACGTGATGCTACTGTTTATTGCACTGTGGTTTACTGAAGCGTAATCGAGAAGGTAGATGCGGTTTGCCGCGTTCGCAAGATATAGGTGATTAACTTCTTGGGAGTGCTCCTTGTATGGGGGTGAATTTACTGATCGCTCGCCTATCCGCATCGCGAAAACATTCGGAATCGCCGCAAAAATCGGCACTACGATCAATCGCGAAACCGCAACCGCTATGACCGCATTATTTGTATGTTACACAAGTACCAATAAGTATGGGACCAGGAATTAAGATATTAGGTCTCTCAAACTTTTTCTTATCAGTCATAATTCTGGGTGATAAGGCATTGATTTTAATCATATGTGTGTTTATACGCAAAGCGTACAAACAATTGACACTTTTCCTTGACGTAGATGGAATATATTATCAAAAATAATCCCTTGTAGCTATTTAATATATTAAAACGGACAATCTCGATGAATTATTTTTTTTTAGAATAATGCTCTTTATACAGGTACATATTGTTCTTTGTAACGATAATTATTCTTTAGATTCTTGTGCAAATTGAAGGTCAGTTTGGACGATATTTGATCCAACAAAAATATCAGTAGGACATTATTCAACTGTATCTAGATTATGTCTGACAGTTGCATTAGGCAGTACGAGATAATTAACAGCGGGCGACCAAACTAAATAGAAAGATCTTTTGACGCTTTTTATTATCAACGCGACGGTATCGCTCTGAGCCACTTCCAGCGCCACCGGAAAAGCTCACAAAGACCGCTATATCTTTGACTGTTTTCTTAGAAAAAAGTGTCGATTTACATAAAGTGTATTATTCGGTAGATATGTTATATATATCGTTTAACAATCGCTCAAATTTTTTTTTCATCTATTTTTTGCTAAATAAAAAAACTTACTCTCGTGGAAGGATTCAATTTTTGATTGTCAAAATAAAATATAGTTTTGCTATTAATAATTTTATTGGTAATTAAATTTTCCTTTATGATTTAATCTTTGATAATTACCACTTTATAAAAAAAAAACTATTTGTTTAATATAACTTTAATTGTATAATAATATAACGTTTTAAATATAATATTGAGACAATTATACATCATCATAATAATAATGCAATCTAGAAGGATATATTTTATAATACATTTTACTCTACAAGATTTTTAACGATAAAAGAGAAGTTTTCGTTTTCTCTGGACAAAGGCAGAGTGTCGCTAGGCGTAAGTTAATTTGCTTTCTACGCGAAAGCCGAGCTAATGAACTATAAATAAGGGAGGCATACTTATGCCAAGTGGACAGCCGCACTTACTGACCCTTCGTAATTAAAATCCCGTCCTAAATCAGGACTAGGGATGCGATTAGACGAGGATCGCTCCTGTTCCGTCAGCTTACGAGCAAATCCACCGCGGCCCTTACGTACTTGAGCTCTCATCTCCCTCAGTTCTTACGTGCATATGTATATTTGCAACGGCAAACTTTATTACGAACATAAAGCTTTTGGAAATCTGTTTAAAAAGAAGTACAGATGAATTTGAAATATAGAAGTTTGTGAATGCAGTTATATAAGTCATATTAAAATAGTTTTACAACTAAATACATAATGTGGAGTCGTAAAGAATTATTAA